AAGTCAGAGCTTCAAGCATGTCCATCCCCGAGATGGTGTGCACCACACTCATTAGGTGTAAAATTCATTTTGTTATGGTGTTTTTCCACAATTGTTTAGCCAGTTATTCAAACACCATTTAAAAATTAATCCATTCTTTTTACGCATCCATGAAGTGACACCTTTATCACATACTAAAGCCTCATATGTGCTTGAGTATCTTTCTAGGTCTTCTCTTTTGTTCCATTAAGCTACCAGACTACTTTAACTATTGACATTTTATACTGGTCATGTTCTTCTGCTGTTTATTTAAGATTTATTTGATTTTTTCTTCATGTTAATACTTTATAATTGATACATGGAGTTCCACCTTATTATCTCACTGACATTTGTATTGGCATTTGCCTGAAATTCCTAAGTTACTTTGGGAAGCATCCACTTCTTTTCAATATTGTGTTGCTTTCCTCGATGTGTGATTCCTTCCATGCACTCAAGGCCTCAGTCGAGTTTTCTGACTTTTCCAGTGGCATCTGCGTGCTCGCTGTTGAGTTTTTTTCTCAAGTATTTGGAGAAATCCCGTTTCTCACAGCAGCCGGCTCTCCCCTCCCCAGGTTCTGACCACATCCGTGAGAAGGATGGACTGTGGGCCGTCCTCGCCTGGCTCTCCATCCTGGCCACCCGCAAGCAGAGTGTGGAGGACATCCTCAAAGATCACTGGCAAAAGTATGGCCGGAATTTCTTCACCAGGTAAGCCCCAGCCTGCCTGGCTATGAGGCAGTGTGGGGAATTCGGCAGAGAGAATTCTTGTGCATACACAGCCTCTCTTGTCCTAAGTGACAATAAAACCCTACTTCATCCAGCCTCTACCAGTTGGAGATTTTTAAAATAATTCAGTCAGGGTTGAAATAAAGTCAACCTTTTTATGTCAGCCATGAAGAATTAGGCTTAAAAATTTAGCTAACATAATCAAAAGAATAAATGTCTTATTTGCATTTTTAAATGTACCCACTGGGTGGACATGATCATAACACTGGATTTAGATTCAGAGAAGTGGATTTGAATTTTATTTCTTCCCCTTACTTGACTGGGGAGTCATTTAACCTCTCTCTGTACTCAGTTTTCTCATCTGTAGAAATGGGAATAACAGTCTAGCTATTGAGAGGACTAAATGAAATATGAAATCATATTTCCTAATCTCTTAAATTATGGAAATAATTATGCTTAGTCCAAATCAACTTTACTGAGTCATTACAATATGGCCCCAAAGGCTGTATATTTGTCACTACTTCATTAATTGATTCAGCAAATATTTACTGTATACCTACTTCCTGTTGGGTACTGGGGATTCAGCAGTGAACAAAATACTCAGAGCACTTAATAATAGTTCTTTATCATACATATTTCTAATTTTAAAAAGCATTAAAAATGTGTTGACAGTAGTGCTTTTCA